TATATATATATATACAGTGTACAGTGTGTGTATATATATATATATATAAATTACCATACAGGACAGCATTTTCAGTAAATATAATAGTAATTTCATAGTAAATACACAGTAACCAAATTTAGTCATTAACCATAGAAGCTGTGACTGGTGCTTGCACATTTGTTATGTGGTTGCTAAGATATGAATTGTTTTTCAGCATTGTGTTGGGTTTCAGTCTATTTTATTTTTAGCTTTTTTTTTAATTGTCCACCAGGTGAAAATTGTAAATCCGATAGCTTAGAAAATGTAGAGCTTCAACAAAGGCACCTGGCAACCACCCAAAACAACTTAGCAATTGTATAGCCTTGTATTTAAGTTGAGTGACGCCTTCAGATCAACTGTAAAGTGTAATACTAAGGTGTTCTATTCCACTCTCTCTCTAGTCCCGTTCTGCCTCTCGTCGAATGTTCTCTGCCCTGGCTCTGTCCACGTTTCCAGTGCTGTACTTTTTCACGTTCCTGTATTACACTGACGCTGGCTCCACATTCTTCACCCTCTTCATGTATCTCATGGCGCTGTATGGAAGCCACAAAGCAGCAGCGCTTCTCGGCGTCTGCGCCGTCCTCTTCCACCAGACCAACATCATCTGGGTGGCGTTCTGTGCTGGCACCGTGGTGGCTCAAAAAATGGATGAGAGCTGGCGGACTGAATGGAAGAAGCGAGACGAAAAATCACCTTCTCAGGTCCCTCTAACCATCAATGGGGCAATGAGAGTGATGCGTTTCCTGTTGGAATTCCTCAAAACGCCCAACAATATAAAAGCCGTGGTCTTGTCGACATGGCCATATATTGCCGTAGCTGTCGTTTTTGCAGTTTTCGTCGTGTTGAACGATGGAATTGTGGTTGGAGATCGTAGTAGTCACGAAGCATGTCTGAACTTTCCTCAGATGTTCTATTTCCTGTCATTTACTCTTATATTTTCTCTTCCTACCTCACTGAGTTACCAAAGGGTAGTCAGGTTTCTACAGTCTTTACGAAAGCAGCCCTTAATTTATGCCGTACTGATGACGTTCTCCCTGTTTTTAGTCTGGAAATTCACGTTTGTTCACAAATACCTGCTTGCAGACAACAGACACTTTCCATTTTATGTATGGAAGAGGATTTTCCAGAGACATGAGCTTGTCCGTTTCCTGTTAGTCCCTGGATATGTGTTTGCAGCATGGAACTTTCTAGATACTTTGAGGTCCAAGTCGCTGTTCTGGTTTTTGTGTTTCTCCGCGTGTCTGGTGGCGGCCACTGTTCCGCAGAAACTCCTGGAGTTCCGATATTTTATCCTTCCGTATCTGTTATATCGCGTCCACATCCCTGTACCGTCTTTACCCAGACTGCTGCTTGAGTTTGGCCTCTTCACCGCAGTTAACACAGCTACAGTTTACATATTCATCAATAAAACATTTCAGTGGCCTGACAGTACAGCTGCACAAAGATTCATGTGGTGACAAAAATATGAATTGCAATTCTTATTCTCAAATTTTCTATCCACAGAGAAAAAAATGAGTGGTGTTTTCACTATTTACCAATTAAAAACATATATATATATATATTTCAGAATATGAGCCATGCTCCAGCTTGGTTTTGCTGTTATTGTTATGTTAATTAGTTTGTTTTAAGCCACTGGTGATATTAAGTTATTTGTAAATGTATGAGCAGGATTTCGTTTTAGTTTACTTTGTATGCTATAATAAATATATGTATATGCAGTTACTGTTAAATGAAACCATTCCTCTGACCAACCCAATCGACAGGGAAGTCGTGGCCTAATGGTTAGAGAGTCGGACTCATAACCCAAATGTTGCGGGTTCGAGTCTCGTACCAGCAGGGATTGTAGGTGGGGGGAGTGAATGTACAGTGCTCTCTCCCACCTTCAATACCACGACTGAGGTGCCCTTGAGCAAGGCACCGAACCCCCAACTGCTCCCCGGGTGCCGCAGCATTGGCTGCCCACTGCTCTGGGTGTGTGTTCACGGTGTGTGTGTGTGCACTTTGGATGGGATAAATGCAGGGCACTAATTCCAAGTATGCGTCACCATACTTGGCCACTCGTCACGTCACTCGTCACTCATCAATCAGAATTCATTTTTGTTGTGATTTTGCCTAATATTTAGTACAAGCTTCATATGTTATGTTTGTTTATTAAATGCTGTTTGAGTTAATTTAATTAGGATAATCATTTTGTTCATTGTTGTGTAATTTTATATTTCCTTTTGTTTTTGTTTTTTCATTGTTGTCTAATTTATGGTAGACATCAGGTTTCAAATTTTTGAATGTTAATTTGTCATTGGAAGTGATTTGTGTCTGTGTTTTTCAAATTCTTATTTGTCTTTCCTCTCATTCTTTTTTTTGGGGGGGATATTAAAGTCATTTTGATACATGAACATGACTAAATACATTAATTATCTCCATAACTTTAAGTGTTTTATTAGGGTTTCTGGTTTAGTAAAGCCTGCAATGATGGCATTAATAATATGATAATAATGTTTGAATTAATGACAATTTGAGAGAAGAGAGTGAGACATTACCTAACAGTTTAATTCATTAGCCCAGAGACACATTGAACAAACTGTAACTTGTAAATTTACTCTTGGTGCCCCTGATCCAGTCCCATGTCCAGTCTCATATTCTTTAAAACACAGAGATGTTTTACTTCCATAAATCCATTTAGGAAAGCTAGCACTGAAGCATTTTCTCCTGGTTGATAGTAGGCTTGCCGCGATAGACGGTGTTGATGGTGATACCTACGGTGGCCGAGAGAGCTCAACGCGCTGCAACTTAAGAAAACACATGCAAATTGAAAAAACACCAGCAAATTAAGAAAACATCTTCATCAGTTTGACAACACACGCGCTGCAGATTGAGTCGAGCTGACTGTCAAGAAGCGTGAGGTGAGACGATGGCGGATGATTT